AACTTTTTCTTATCACGTTCCTATTCTCTGGGGACACTATGCACCTAGTTATATTGCTCTAGGACCAGGCACTAGACACTAGGGACAACCCCTATGCCCTTGACCCAGTGAAATTATTCAATACAACCATTTTGCATGGATCCCATAAAATTTAGCTAATCTCTGTCCATTTGTCATCCATTAGTTGTCCCTTTTAAGTTCCTGTTAGCCAGTCCAGGTGTAAGTCTCTCATGTTCTTAAAACAGTAGCCTTCTTTGGTCTGAGTAAACAGCATACAGCTCTGCCCCTCATCTGTCCTAACTTTAGTTCATGCGTCCCACACCAGAAGAATTTTTACGTCTTATAAATCAGGGATCCTCATCTGCTTTGTATTTTATATGAAGATGTTTACCCTTGTCAACTATGTCCTTTTAGGTCATATAATCTTTTTGGAGTTTCATCCATGTGAATTTTGTACAAAATATGTACTGAAGTTGTGCCCCCCTAGAATTCTTGTTTTCCATTCCTCAGAATTATTACCAGCCTGTTTTTATTTCAATGCTTTTGTTTGTTTGTTTGTTCTTTACTTTTATGCAAGCCTTACTGTCCACACATGTAGTAAGAACTCAAACACCAAAATCCACAGGGGCATGGATTAAAAGGGTCTGTTACAAAATGATAAGCTTAGATTAGAACAGACAAACTGGGTTATGTTTCTTCTATGCCAGAGTTTGGTCATATATTTCTCTATAATTTTTCTTGGTAGATTATTCATAATCTCTGCTTTCCGCAAATCACTTCTTTACAACATTTCATCCTTTACTGTCAAATTTAATTTAATTTTTCCTGTGTAGCAATTAAACTCCAAGCCTTTGATTGTTAATAAAGACTATCACAGAATTCTGCCCTTCCCCACCTCATGGTGGCCTGAGAGTCAGTTTCTTTTAATGTTCTAGTTTCATTCCCACCTGTCCTTTTGGCTCATGAGATTCTTAAACTTCCTTGCAAATTCAACTTACCATTTTAAAAGATGCATCTATTTTATTGTGATCAGTTTTTCTATGTTTCACAGCAGGGAATGAGAGATCTAATCAACCACATTTCCAGAAATGTAGATCTGCATTTTTAAAATTCTAAGGTCCATATGAAGCCATCAATACCAAGAAACACTATTTTCAAGTGAAATTCACGAAATACAGAGGACTACGAGGCACCTCAAACACTGATAGAAATTACAAATTAACTGGGGTTATGAGAATTAAATGAGTCATTACAAGCAAGAACTTAGAACAGGCCCTAGCACATAGTAAATAATGAGCAATTGTTAACTATTCTTAGTATTAATATTTTTCAAAATCATCCAAGTCCATGAAGTCATGTTTTCCTCATTCTCCACAATGACATAGCTCACCATTTTATTGATACATTTTAAAAGTCATACACTTTCTACTTACATGTAAAAACATCATGCTTTGTATTGAAATTAATCACACCTTGTTATTAAATGTTTTTTTGATTCTCTTTTCTTGCACAAGTAACTCAACACATTGAGAAGTTAAGCAGTAAAAGAAGGTAATTAGTGTCATTTGTTTCAGGAAAGTTATTAGAAATGACTCATGGAAGAGGTATTCTTGCTCTAGCAATTGAATTCTAAGTCTGGATTTGATAGTCAAAGTGATATAACTCAAGCATCACCATATTGGCATTTTTCTCTATTTTAATTCAAAAGTTCAAAATAATTGAAATCATTTGGAGTTGCTAAGTATGGCAAGGTTTTAGTTATGAAAATAGTTAGGGGGCTGGGGATTTAGCTCAGCGGCAAAGCGCCTGCCTGGCAAGCGCAAGGTCGTGAGTTCGGTTCCCGGTATCGGAGAAAAACCAAAACAAACAAACAAACAAACAAACGAAAATAGTTAGGGCTGCAATATACTTCACTATATCAAAAATCATATACATGATAGCCATTGTAGTCACTGATCCTGGCATGTTAGGCAGAAATCATGCAAAGTAAAATGCGGAAGACATGTGTGACCGGATTACTGATTTTATCAGTGATTGCTAGGTTAAGTTAGTAAACTACACTTGAATCCTTGAAATAATTCAACAGGAATAGCTTTTTATAGAAGAGATATTAATCTATAGCATTTATAAAGAAATAGAGGAAAAATAAAACCAAGCAATCCAGCCTCAGGCCAGACCAGAAATACATTTTATTACATCAGTGGCAGAAGAATTAAAGATCTCAGTACAATGTGATTCAGTTGAACTTAAAAGATCAATCTTTCAGAGTAATCACTGGAGCTAATATGAAAACTACAATGTCTTACTATTAATAATCCAGTGGAGTAAATCACAGAATGAAGTTCAGAGAATTAAATTTTATTTCTAAATTTGTCAACATGATGGTTTGTGACCTTGATAAAGCCACTTAACCTTTCTTTGCCTTAGCCTTCTCATCCATAAAGAGAGAAGGAAGAGGCACCTTTTGAGAACATGAATTCAGCCTATGGTTGATTGGAAAATGCCTTAAATATATTGCTACATTAACTTTGTTAAATCTGTTGTATGAGGTACAAAAATGCTACCACAATGATCACGTTCTTTTAGCAATCATGTCATTCTTTATGTTTTTTTTTCTTCAATTCAACTTTCTTTTCTTCACTTCTTTGCTAATCTTGGTGACTGTCACATTTATGAGAAAACTTTTCTTGATGAAAAATTTTCATAATCCATTCTTTTAAAATCATTACTTCATTCTATGATCTAGCCTTAGAAATTAAATTACTTAAACTGTTCTGGCTGATTTTCAAATTTTATGACAGAAATGTGGTAGCTACTTCATTTTGAATGATTCTTTATAAGATTATAGGAAAATATTTGGGCCAGAAGAGGAAATAATCAATTAAAGAGACAAAAATGAATAACATGCAATATATCAGTAGTTTTTTTCTGAATCAATATAGTGCATAGTTCTTGTTCTTAGGTTCAACAAAACCAAAATTAGATACTGATACTATTTTCTGCATTTTTGGCTACATAGATCATGATTTAAGATAAACCACAGTAGTATACTGTATTTTGAAATTACTAGGTCTCTTATGACCATCTCTGAACATATTATTTCCCATTTTATCACAAATAATCTGGCAGAGGGCTAGGATTGAAGTTATAGCTTGAGTTTAATGCAAGACACCTTAGGATATGAAAATTTGTATTAATAGAAACAAATATTTTCACATTTCCATTAATTATATTGAAATACAAACAATCAATGTACAGTCCAAAACAGAAATTCTAATTTCTAATTTTCTTTGGAGTACCACACCTGTCCTCTTCTCAGCTCATTTGGTCAGAGTAGGTCTCCAAAAGACCCTAAATAATAGCTTGTAAATATGAAAATATGCATACTCTAACCAAGCAAATCTACTGGAACTTAAAAATACTATAGGAAAGACTGCTCATTTTTTAAGGGAATATATGTGTGTGTTTATGTGTCTCTGCATGCATATACATATTTATGTCTGATGGTTAATGGAAATGTTATTTATGCTATCAAAAGTCAAAACAAACCTAATAAACCAATTTTCACGAAATGAAATAGTGTAGCATTGCTACAATGTACATTGCAGAAAAGTGAAGTAGATGAATATTAACAACATAAGTTGGAGATGGAGAAACCAGAGACAATTGAATATACATGTCAGTGCAAATTTATAAAGTTCAAAATAGGTAAAATTTACTCATATAATTTATGCATGCATGCTTTATAAGAACAAAGAATGCCATAAATGTCAGCTATGGACCACATGGTGGCACATAGACAATAGAGGGAAGGAAGAGATTGACAATCAGAAGGACATGCAGTGTGCTTCTGTGATACCTATGCAATTCTATTTCTTCATCTAGGTGGGATTCTTTTGATAAAATAAGTTACACCATGTTTACATTTTATATACTTTATTGTATTCACTATGATACCAAAGTAAGTAAAAAAATGTAAACTGATTCTGGACTGTGTAGTAGATAAAAAAACTGTACCTAAAAAAGTAAATGATGCATTCCAGAAAATAGGAAAGAAAACTGCATAATAACATGTTACATAACTTTCTATATAGTCTTTATATCACGTTGTAAACAACAACCTCAATAAAAATAGAGATCTTGCAATAAGATTATATTGGCTTTTGTCAAGCAAGGGAAGTGAATATAGTGAGATACAGAATCAAGAATGAAACTTAAATTGATAGATTTGGATGATATTTTAGAAACTAACGTTAAGCATCTTAAGAGGAAATTGCAATCCTATTTTCCATCCATAACAATGTTGAGCTACATGTAAACATTTAACTTAACAATTAATAAAAGGAAGCTGAAGTGGTTTTGCTTAAGCTTCAATACAAATGAAAAATATAATGTAGGAAATGTAAAAGTTAATGTAATATGCAGTAGTAATGTTGTATTAATGAAAATAGAATGTGAGATGAGGATAGGAAGAGTTGTTTCCCTACTGTTTTCCATACTTTATAAGTGTTATTAGTATCACCTTGCCAGTTTCAAACACAACTTAAAACAACTGATTTAAACGAGAGTGTATTGCTTATGCTGAGCTATTTAATTGAAGACTACACATCTTTAGAGTGACTACTATAGGTTCTACATCATGCTGGATTCTTACTGAATTTGGAATTGTAAAATGAACATAGAAGTATCACTTTCAGTTTTAGCTTCTATATGTAAGTAGCACGGGAGTTACCACTCCATTGCTACAGGAAAACTAAGAAAACCTGAAAACTCGTTTTTCTTGAGCACTAAGGATTCAAGGTTAACCGCTATCCTAAAATTTGGTGAACAGGCAAATTTAGAAGAACACAGCCAGAATCATTTACTTGGAACAGGAGTCACTGGAGCCCTAGCCACACAAGAAATCATCATAACCAAATTCAAATAGGACACAAATAGTACAGCTATTAGCTTTGGGATTGAAAGTAGCTATATTTAACATATTAAGTGCTCTGATAAAAAACAGTAACATAAACAACAGATGGGTAATATATTTAGATGAATTGAAATCCACAAAATAAAAGTGAGAAAAGAATGATAAAATTTAAAAACATTGTAACAGAAATGAAGAATGCTTTTGATGGGTCATAGTCAAAATAAGGGTCAGAGAATTTGAAAACAGGTCTTTAGGAACTTCATCCACTGAAATATGAAGAGAAAAGAATGATTAAAACCAAACAGAGCATTCACTTTTGAAGGGTATAATGTATAATTGGAATAATAGAAGTATAAGCAATAAAACATGGAACAGAAAAATACTGGAAATAATAATGACCACAGAATTCCTAAAATTAATGACAAACACTAAATAAAAATGAAGAAAACACCAAACGGACTAACTAACAGATTCTTTACTCATAGGCATATCATAGTCAGATTATAGAAAAAAATACAAGGAGAAAATCTTGAGAGGACATAGAGGAAATACATGTACAGTGGATAATGAGAAGAATCAGAGTGAACATTTTGTAAAAAGTAACCCAAGCAATGAAAATGGAGTGGGATACTGAAAATAATGAAAGTAAAGAAATACATATATAGGTTTCCATATTCATGACATTTGTTTACTATCAACTATCAGTAGTTTCACAGAAGCTAAATGATATAAGGCTTTGAATAACATTCACACTAAATACAACATGATAGTGATGTGATAAAAGTACCAAAGAGTGATACACTGTCATCCAGGAAGTGCCCACCTTTGTTGATTGACTGAAGGATATAATTTGAATTTTAAAATCACATGTTTTTCTATAGGAGAAACCCAACATATAAATAAAGAGCAAAATAAATGATAGTAGGAAGTAGGGAGATAGATCTTTCTCAAAAAGGGAGGGGATCAAGAGATAGAGGGATGGTGAATGTGGAAAAGATGGAATGAAAAAACGAATTAAGATGTGTTATGTACATCTATAAATAAGGAATGTAAATAACTATAAATAAGGAATGCAAATATGTACAACAAATATGTGCTAATAAAACATAAAGAAAAAACAATGGTTGTATAATTTGGCTATAGTAAAAGTAAATGTGCTATATTGTCATACCAATTAATATTATGCATAGTTAATTTTTCTCAATAGACTTATTGTAAGTACTTAAAATACATTTATTACCTCATACTTTTAATTCTAGGGCATGCAGCTCGACACTCACTCAGCTTTTTGTATGTACTCAAATTTTATGTTATAATTTATTTACTAAAGGCAGTGTCACCAGTAAGGCTACTTAGAATACAAGTAATCCTGGTAAAAAGTTGAATGAAAACTTCCACTAAACTTTCACTAACTTCTTAAATATCAAGGCTTAAATATTCTTCATTTTCCCACTGTGAAATGAAATGTTTTTAGACAAATAAAGTTTAGGAAAATTTAGTAGACCTGGAAAGCATTTAGGGGAAAAGAGTTCTATTCTTGGTTCTATGAAACAGACATATACAAGTTGTTTTACCATTTGATACCTACTGTCCTATTTCCAGTTGCTTTACACAATAGTGGTTTAGAATACTAGTATTCCTAGAAAGAGGAAAGATTTAATTATCAAGGATGAATTCAGCCAGGCATGGTGGCACATGCCTGTAATCCCAGCACTCAGGAGGCTGAGGCAGGAATATCACTGTGAATTCGAGGCCAGCCTGGGCTACAAAGTGAATTCAAGGCCAGTCTGAACTGAATAACAAGACCCTGTCTCAAAAACATAAAAAAGGGATGAATTCTACATTCCGAAGTGTAAAATTTAGAAGTGTATGCTATTTCTGTTCAGGAAGTATGTTTGGACTGTGTATTTTTAATTTACCTCATTCAGTTTTTGCACAAACCATGTTAAATGAGGTGAATGTTATCTTCATCATTTTATACATGAGGAAATTTAAGTTCTGATTCTACCAAGGTCATGTGATGGGAGAGCTGTAGATTCAAGATCTTAGGCAGAGTTCTGAAACTTGCTCTCATGTTTTTTCCCTTAACAACCAGATACAGGAATGACCGTATCATCACATCTCACCTAATTACTTGATGATTTCACCAAAAATTATATTATTTTCAAGTGTATGAGATCATGTATGTCAGATTCATAGAGGGATATATTCATAAAACAGAAAAATTATTAATTTGGAGCAAGACAGAAACAGAGGTGATTTCACATCTTCTATTTCATCACTCTAGAAAATGTTTCCCAAAATGACACACTACAAAATATAGACATCAGTTTCTGAAATAGTAAACACATTATTTCAAGTACTTTCAAAAAGTCTAACAGTTGTATAATTCCTTAAGCATATTCTCTTTTACTTTTCAAATGAATTTCAGTACAAGATGATTTAAAGGCAAAGAAGAGTACATTTCCCCTTACAAGATTTCACTTAGCATTTGGTTGAGTGGCTCTGTAGTTGCATGGATTTGAAAATCAACATGCAACCTAACAAAATATCAGTTTCATTGTTGCAAAAGGAATATTGAAGACCCTTGATTACCTGTAACGGTTAATTCCGTAGTTCTTCTCACAACAAAGCCGCCATATTTCAATTCACAGGTATAATTTCCAATATCATCTTCTCTGACTTCTCTTATAAGCAAAGTGTCTCTTTTAAATACAATACTTGGCCTCCATGTTTTTGTTCTGCATTCCTACATGAAGAACATAAAATTTAGGTAGTACGTAATATAATTGAAAAATAATGTTTCATAAATTAAGACTAATTTCTAGTGCTATATTTGAAAGATACAAAAGAATTTGGAATTAAAGCTAAACAATTTAATTCCATTTTCAAATCTCTGTGCAATTAGGTATCTCAATTAGAAAAGACTATTTTTAGAGAAAGCCATGCTTTGAAATTTCATGTTTACTATCTCCATATCAGACATATATTAACTTATTAGCAAACATTCAATGTAATGTAGAAAATTAGTTTTGTAAAATGCTTCTTTCAATATTTGAAATATCTTAATGTTACATTTAGTAAAAATTATATCTCTTCATGGCATGGACATTATAAAATCTGTGAATCAAATAGACAACATTTGTGTGCAAGGTTTTTATAACCCCATAAATATCTATTTTCATTGTTGATAGCCCTTCCAAATTATAGCCTCTGAATTAAGCTTTGGATTATGACATTGGCTCGGGAAGTTTATGTTTTTGCCAAAACCGAGGTCCATACCCTCCATCCAAATTTAAAATCAATGGAATGAAGATAAAATAGCTTTAACCCTTTGACACTATTGAGAGATAACATTATTTCTAAAAAATTTTATTGCCAAATTAAAATTTTGCAGACCATGATTCTATGTGGCTCAATGCCTTTGTGTAATTGAGGGGGGCAGTTATCCAGTTATTTCAGACAAAAATAAACATTTTATTTTCTCATATCAGTTGCCTAAACTGGCAAAATTATATAAATTGTACACTGGATACATAGAATCTATATTTAGCCAAGCAATTTTCTGGTATTCTTTAAAATTAGCCTTTAAATCTCAGCTATTTTGATTACAGAGAGTCAGCCTTGGCTAAGGAAAATAGTCTGAAGTTCCAGAAGAATTTTAAGTTCCACATGTACCATATGTCCACATACCACTCCGTGAGTGATGGTCTTTATAGCTGAAGGTCAAAAGAACTGTGGTAATGGTGAAAATAGAACTGAAGAACCAATGTGAAGACAACCATGTTTTAAATTGTTTGGGAGGAAGAGGAGGGAATCTCTCAACTTCCAGCAAATTTTGAGACGCTTTTTACACAAGGTTTGAAAAGATACTTGCCTTTAAAATCAACGTATTAGTGAACAGCAATGAAATTGTTTATCTGTAAGCTAAATATTGACATGTAAGAAATGAGAGAACTATTCTGTTTTGGGGAACCTGGGTCTAGTTCTTCCAATAGCACTCCTTTTTGAAGTAGTCACCAATGCTGTTTCAGAATGTGCCTGTTTAAGACAGGCAAACTACAGAATATGAAGGATGAGAAATGTTCAAATCCAAAAAGGGAAAAAATAAATCACATTCTCGTGGGAACAGAAACCAGTAGTACTAATACTTGGGTACTGTTTTAGTATCATCTGAGACAGAAAACCCATGGACAAATAGAAAAGTACTTCAAGTTGGAGCCGGGGATTTAGCTCAGTGGCACAGTGCCTGCCTGGCAAGCGCAAGGTCATGAGTTCGATTCCCAGTACCAGAAAAAAAAAAAAAAAAAAGAAAGAAAAAAGAAAAGTACTTCAAGTTATGCTGATGTTCTGAACTTCCTATTGCTTAATACTAAGAAACAGAATTAAATCATACTTAGAGAAAAGCATTGGTAATCTTGAAAAAAATGCTTTAAATTTTTTCAAATCGTTTTCTTGTATTATTTCTGATGCTTTTTGCATTCAGGAACCATCAGTTCTGAGGGCTCACCTGATACTGATGTTTGTGCATCTAGTTACTAAGAAACCCATTTTCCTAAAGTCCTACTTCCAGCAAGTTAGAAAAAGCAACTTTAACACTAGGAATCTATAGCCAATTGATAGAACACTCCAGAGAATTGTTCATGTCATTTATATCCTATTTTTACAGTACATTAAAAAACAGTAACATTCTTATATGGTGTAAATACGTTTTACAGTATAATCACTTGTGCAGCCTCAGTGTGTATCAATGATTCAATAGAGAAAATGGGCAGGATTGCTCCCTTTAAAGATTCCTATGGGGTTTTTGGAGAAAATAATTCAAATGCTATCTTTACAATGTGGTAATGTCTTATCAGGAGTTGTTTCTTAAAATGCATATATTTATATAGGAAAAGGACAATAATATGGATAGCTATGTCCACAAAATAAAACATTTAATTAGAACCAGTACATCATTTCATCACAGAAGAAAGCCAATCCTTTTTGCTCCTTATTTGGGCATATTTTAGAAGGCCAACATGAAAAGTATTAAATTAATGTTCAGTATATTTTAGTTCCTGAAATTATCAACCCATATCATAATAGACTTTAGAGAATGGGCCATACGACCAAAATATTTACTGATATTTTGTTCATAGTTAAAAATATTTAATGATTAGCACAACTAGCTATGCCAACCTTGGAAAGCAGAACCGAACTATATCACATGTATTCAAATATTTTGTCTACTTGCTCCAGAATTTGATACATGTTAAGCTCTATATAAGCTATAAAATCATCTTCAATCCATACCTTATACCAAAGGATTTCTGGTTCTCTGGTTGGTAGTAAAAAGTCCTCTATGTCACGGCATGAAATTTCCTTGCTTTTGCTAAGTTCAGCTTTTTCAAAGTACTTCATCTTGGAATTGTAGCAGAGTCCAGTGTCATTTTCACCCACTGTCAGTGAGATAGATACCTTCATGCAATAAGTGGAGTTTCTGTAACAAAGCAGAATAAATATGGTGACCTATTTTGAACAAAAGGCAAGTTCTGCCAATGCAGTGTTCAACTCACTGAGGAAAAACAAGCAAGCAAAATCTAACTCATATTATGGTATCTTGGCTCTTTCCACAAGCTTCTCTCTTGTCATCCTATACAGTGCTTGTTCCCGTAAAGCCAGCTGTCTATTTTTTATTTGCCAGAGGGAAAATAAGTTTTGTTTTATATCCAGGTTCAGTGTGAAAAGTGTTCAATAGAGATTTTTTAATCTATAAAAATAAAAGAAATAGAAGAAGATTTAGGTCAGAAAGAAAGTCAAATCTAAGTTTATTCCAAGACTGACAATCTCAGCAGAGAAATACAAAACTGTAAGTGAACTATGAAATCCAAGAGAGGGAAAGAAATAAATCTGTTCCACACTTACCATTCTGATTGTATTGGTTAGAGAAGTTATTGATGGCTTTAGGCAGAAGACAATGGTGCATAAAAGTATCATAGAACCACAATCTCTATTCGCTCACAAGTATTGGGTTTTAAACCTGAATTCCAGGCTATCAGAAAGAAGCATTCTACCATGTAACATAAGGACATCTACCTGACAGACAGATTCAACAGAATTGCATCATTAGATGAGCATCTCAAAGCAACGTCAGAGAACATGTTGCCTAGTTTTCAAAATTAATGAGCAGCTGAGCTAAAATCTGCAACTGACACTTAGAGTTCCTGCTCTTAACTCGACATCACCTGTATAAAAGCATGGCCAGTGTCTGATACAAGGAGGCAGTGTAAGACTCTAAGATCAAAAAGATTGATGAAGGAGGTTCAGAATTAGAATGTATACTTTCACTTCTTAGAAAGGACTCTACTTTCAAAATTCTAATGTGTTCTCTAAATCTGTAGTATTCTAAAACCTAAATATTTTCTCGAGACACATGTGAATGAATCCTAAGCTAGTTAAAAGCTCACTGAGACAAGTATTTTTTCTGAAAAAATTATCTTCCAATGAGCCAAGAAAAAATAGCTTATCGTTTACATTGGAGCAAAATTAATAAATAGTGCATAGGCGGTATTGTCCCCAAACCCTCTATAAGTATCTTTATCAGCGAATTACTGAAAAAGAAGCAGCTTTAAAAGAAAATAAGATGAGTCAAATTTTAGCTTGAAATTTACACTCAAATGAAAAGGTGAAAAGGTAGAGCCTTCATCAGTCTTTTAGATCTAAGCATTTTAGATTTTCTCTCTCCTGACATTACTTTCTACTGTTGTGTGTGTTTCATACAGCGCCTCCTTGTATCAGACACTGGCCATACTGGTGTCGAATTAAAAGCAGGAACTCTGAGTTAGTTGCAGATTTTAGCTCAACCGCTCATTATTTTTGGAAGCTAGGCAATATACTACTTGGGTCTTTAGGCTTCTGTTTCCTCATGTATAAGGTGTAAATAATACTCAAAGTCCCATAGGCTGTCTTAGGAATGAAACTACTAAAACATGTGAAGACATTAGAGCAGTGCCTGCTTTACAGTGACCACTATGTAATAGTTAGAACTTATTATCAGCACCTTGTCATTTCCTTCTCATTCTTTCATATGTTAATTTTGTAGTACAGCCACACACTGTTTGTTCAGCAAGTAGATTAGCAAATATCTCCATGTTATGTCTTGAGTTCTTTGGTATGTAATTAGTGTGAAGCATAATATTCAGAGAAATCCTTGTATTTTTCATTTGCGATGTTTGAGTGGGTGGATTAAATATACCTACAGTTAAAAGGAAATATGGATTGCCCACCTAAGCCACTGCATCTTTCTTTTTTTATAAATGCAACTGACCCCTAATCTTCAGAAATTGGCTCCAGTTGAGCACCCCTAGTTATTCTTATGTTACTGATGTTCATTCCCAAGCTCTGTGAGGTGACTGCTGATTTACAACTGTCTGGTAATGTCTGGATTTCTAGACTCCCCAGGATAGCACTATTTTCAAATTACTTTCGATGTTTTAATACTTGTTTACTGTTTCTGTTCGTCAGGAGGTGATTTTAAAAGCCAAAAATAAAGTAACATCCAACCAAGGTTGTAGTCCTATTTACTGAGAAAAGCTAACAGGAAGCAAGCAACTTGTGAGACATTAATAAACATATGATCCCCCTGAGGGGTATTTACACACTTTCAAAGCAAAGATGCATTCCGCCATCATCAAACTTGCGGCATGACTGCTATGGCTCTCTGCCGTCAGGGAAATAATTTGGAATGGGGTAAATGGGGTAAGGAGAATGTTCCTACAGGACTTATGCTACAATCATTAGCACACATTTCCGTGGCTTTTATTGTTTATAGCAGATGGGCGGCATTCTAGGCAAAAACTTAAATCATGATGGTTGGTTTCAATGTTATAAAAGAGCTAACAGGATAGGTCATATGTGTATGCAGGGAAGACAGTTGTTTATAACCAAGAGTTAATAGCAATTATCCTTCCTTGTAAAGAAATATTAACATAAATTTTGAAAAATGATACACACCATGTAAACACAATGTATTGTACAAACATCTCACATACAGTTACTTCTTTCAGTGTCCTGACATTACTGCAGAGGGACTCGAACGACTAATGAAGTCAGTGACTTGCCAAAGTTCTACTAGTTAATTATTGAAAGAAATGGGATCAGAGCTCATATTCTTTAACTTGTATTCGCTGACTTCTTCTATACACTACAGGAAAGAACTAGCACTGGATTAGAACACAAGCTGTCTGTCTGTCTGTCTGTCTCTCTCTATAGATAGATAGATAGGAGTTATGTTTATATAATATTATATGTGTGTTATAGAAGTTTAATATTTGTATATTTAGCATTGTTTAAAATAAAGTTACCCACTGTTAGCCCCTGTTATTCTACTATTTTGTATTTAAAATTGGATGTCTTCTGAAGAAAAGCAGAATGTGATCTAGCTTGGATTTCTTTGAAAATCTAGGTTTTAAAGGTCCCTAAAATCTAATACCAGTTCAAAGGGAGAAGCAGCAGGTCTTAATGAAATATCGTGGTTTCTCCATCTCTTTCTGTTTACCTATACAAGTATATATTTGTAAAAGGATTAGATTCTAGCATTGTGGCCTGCCTTATACAGGAGGAGAAAATTCTAACCTTAAATCCAGTGCAAATGCATCAGGAACTAATGATTATTTTTTGACTTAACTAAAAAGCTAACATGTGAACCCCAAATACTCTCAAAAATAATTACTCAAAATCAACAGAGTACACTGAATTTTTCTATAACATTCTCCACAGTGTGATACGCTGAAAAAGAGGACAATTTTGAATCAGGAGCTGTCAGAGACTTTAAAATTCACTTTCAGAAGGAGTACTACAGTGCAAAATTACAGATCATTTTGTGGATATTTTGGCAGTGCACGCAGGTCAGAAAGAAATTTATGTGTGGGAAGATAAATATTGAATATAGTCTTTGTTTACCCAATAAAATATATCAAAAGCCACATTCTGTATTACCTTAGTAGTAGGTAATACTACTTTTAGCACAGTCACATTTATTCTGTAATCACTCCTCTTGTGAGTGATAATGTGTAATGTTTGGTGTCTTGATCTTCCTCCAGTAGAATTAACGTAGCATGATTGTTAAATATAGCCTGAAAAGCACCACCAAACACTTGACCTATATAACATGTTATGTCTGGGTTCCTTAGGGGAAACAATAACATTTCCATAATGTTTGACAGTCCTTTCTCACCTCATGAAATACTGTGTAAGAAAGTCAGAGATTGGATCAATGTTTTCAACAGACTACTTTGCTTTATGGTTTACTCTAACATTCATTGGTCATTTTTATGTAATAATCCATTTAAAGAAAATGAAAGCACATAATATTTTTGAAATGTTAGAAAACTTTAGGCACTGAACTGCAGAACAATGGAACAGCCGACCTGAAAGATCAGTTAGTAGAGACCTGGGCAGCTGTAAACTCTCTGGAAAGTGGTTCTTTATCCATAAATTTGACTACTAAATTTGATTATTCATTGTGGAAATAAAGTACTGGCAACCAAAAATGTCAAGATTAGATTGTGCAGTCTGTTTAAGCTTGTTAAGTCTTAAATGTACTTTGATAGTTTATTCCTAATATCAAAGCTTTCCAGTTTTTTATTGCTTCATTGGTCTTAAGGTGATGCCTGAAGCTATGTATGTGTCCCCTAAATATCTTTCTTAAACACACTAAACTTGTAGCTACTGACACGAACTGTGAGATTTGTTTGATTAGATTTTATTTTTAGAAGAGCGCTGAAGGAACTATTGATTTAACTGTGGTTCAAATCAACGTTTGGTGAGAAGATTAAAGTGAAACCATTGAGCAGCTGCAAAGAACTAAATATGTGAGTTTATGGTCTTCTCATTTAAAATTTTAAATTTAACTGGTGAATTGAACTCAATCTAGAATCTTCTCTTACCTATAAATATAAAATGATTATCACTATATTTGGTAGAAATTGATCAGTATAACTTTACCATTCTAATTTTCTAGCCTGAATTTTAAAGTTAAGAAGGCTCCAATGTATCTAGTCTATTATTTCTCTATCTGAATTCTTCTTTGTGATGAATGCTATTAAATGTCACAATATAGACTCCAGGAGTGAAGGAGAGAAGAGAGAATAGAAATCCTGTCACTGGATTGGGGCCTAGAACATGGGTTCAAGTTCACACATATTACAAATAGTGTCTTCAGTGAAGCCTATAGCTGATATACTCATCTTGTATGCATTTTGTCCCTTTATTTTATTGCTAAAAATTGCCATTTATAATTATTTTTCTGCATTTGTTTAGCTGCATCCGCTGTTAATACAGATATATCTTATATATATACATAAAACAAGGGAGGTAGCTGAATGATGCTGGAATTCCAAGAGGCATTATTTAAACAGAGGAAATTTATACGGTATAAAATTAACCATTTAAAGATATATAATTAAGTGACACTTCGTACATTGATAATGTGCAACTGTC